CATGGCAGCTTTCCTCCAGAAATACTACTTTGTGGAACAGACTCCCACATGGCAGCTTTTCTTCAGAAATACTACTTTGTGGAACAGACTCCTGCATAGCTGCTTTCCTCAACACTACAATTTTAATCTCTTCAAATCAAGAATCAATCATTATCTATCCTCATAATCTTCACTTTCTACCACCTTCAACCATATCATATACTTTATTCAGTAAACCTCTACCTTGAGCGGCTCTTGAGCTTTGGATTAAGTGAACTTTACTATAAAAAAAACATACATTGTGCATATGTTACCAACACTATCACTTTTTATATAGTCTCCAAGAGTGTGTCCTGGGTATGATGATAAAACACATCTTGTCAAGAGATTGGAGGTTTTGAGGTGGATTGAACCACCTCTTAACAGCTGTTGTTCTCAGGTCCACCCTGATTCAGGGTGGTAGCACCTGTTAGGGTCCCAGCTATGGCCAAATAGTGTACCCCCAAACAAAAATCAGTACATTTTTATAATAAAATGATCAACAATACATTTTTTATAGCAAAATGACAATCAATACAACACTAAAAAATATAAAAATACTTTATAGTAAAATTACCAAGAGTAGATTTTATGATCTCCAAACTATATAGCTAAAAAACAGACCTTTACCCTGAAAATATAAAATTATGTACAAAATATCTGTAGTTGAAAGTATAGAATGACATACAAAATATTTAGATTCCAGTATTAAATAACCTGTAGAGGTCAACATGACGCTAAACAAAATCAATCAACAATCTATCAAGATGTATGAGCATATGGATATTTGAAGAGCATGGTGCAAAGCCATCATTTGCACCTCGACAACATCGGCATGAGGAACCACTTCCCAGAAAAATGTTATTTGAGGGACCCAAAACAGATGATAATCTAAAGGAATCGAGTTGGGACCCTGCAGTAGATGCAGTAAAACATCCTAACTATATCACTGAAGCCAATCTTTTATTCAGGTATTGTGTGTGTCAAATAATATTGTGGTGCATCGGGATGTCACATGTACACAAATGTCCTGTTCTCTTTCGATGTGTAACTCACCTCAGTCTGTCCAGTGTTTTACTACCTTGAGAAGCACACACTTTTGCATTTTAAAGCCCAGTTGCCATCAATTCCTTTACTGGCAGCTGAACTTGAATTTTTTTTGTTGAGGAGAGCTGGTAAAAATGAAGGCTTCCAAATTATGGAATCTACTTTGGTTCCTTCAGATTATTATGTGTAGTCTCATCAAATGGTATTTATCTAGAAAATAATTCTACTCAGATGATGCCGTTGTTGCATAGGTGCAAGGGTGGCTCCAATCATTTGCAGAATATATTACAAGGATAAGCAATACAGTAGTGCTGCTAAGATAGACACAATTTTTTATTTTATTTTGGTTTGCATATTTTATTAAAGACCATGGAAAAATTTATTAGGAAGTTTATTTTATTAATTAATTGTTCTCTTTTTCTCACAAGTGATTGGCAGTTTAAGATTACCAAAGTATTTCCCAGAGATTGTTTCTTCAAGGACTTTCAGCTGCTTTGGCCATCTTAAGGGAGGGAAGGAAGGATATTTTCAATCAAGGTAAGTCTTTGCTTTCTCCATCATTTTTTTTTTTTTAAGTTTTAATTGTGTTATTTGTTTTAATGTTATATTTGAATATTTTATCATGTTAATAATTTTTTAGGAGAGATTTTTTTATTAGGTTTTCAAACAGTTTCATGAGTATATTCTTTTTGTTGAAAAATATTTAAAATGCAAGAATGTTGAATGATATTTATATTTTTAAAAAAAATAATTATTGCTTCCATTACTTAGTCTTTTTCATAGCTAATATTTTTTTTTACAAGTATCTCTCAAATATTGGCTTTATTTGTATAGTAATAAACAGTTTGGATTTTGTACCTTAAGTTTTGACATTACTTGGAGTTTGTGATGGCTCCTTAGGAAGAGTACAAAAAAAAAAGCATGCCTCATAATATCTATGCAACATTATTACCAATATACAATGGATTACATATCTATGACTGTTTTTTTGTATTTTACTTATTTCTTAAGCAATTTAAAGCAAGAATTTGATTTAAAATTTGTGCTAAAGTTTTTGGTTGGGTGACTTTAACCTTTGTGCTTATTTAAAGCTTCAAGTTAGGGGTTCATTGTTAACTTTTTATACACCAAGTGAAAATTTATATTCTGTTTTATTACATACATATTACATTTATTACATTTCCATTTGAATTTATGGGATGATGAGTTATTATTTACACTATTTACATTTGAACTATTGTCCTCATCTTTGTTGTTATCACAATGTTTCGGCTGTTGTCCCCTCCAGCCTTCATCAGATATATATTGATCAGGTAAACTAGAGGGAATTAAATAAAGATTAAATAAAGTGTTCAGTTTGGAATACCCTGTAGGTTACCCAGATGGATATACACCTGATGAAAGCCAGAAGGCAAAATGGCTGAAACATTGTGATAACAACAACAAAGATGAGGACAATAGTCCAAATAGTGTAAGTAATACATAGACATTATATAAAAAAAAAAATCCATTGATTCCTTAGAAATTACTTTGTTTCCATATTGAATACAAAAAAATGAGTAGATATAGGCTTTCAAGAAGATCTGAATGAGAAGATTTGCATTCTTCAAAAGAGTAATTGAACCTTGCTTGGCTGTGATACTGTGGCTGAGCGGTCTAAAGCAGGATGTATCACATGACAGTTTCTCTTACAAAGAGGTTCAAACACATTTTCTTTATTAAGTCTCTTGAATATGCAGGTAAGTAGATGTAATTCAAAAAACAAAAAAAAAAAAAAAACAGAGTCTACTCAAACATTGGTATACATAAAATAATGCCTGGAATAATAGGAAATTATATATATATCCACTCTTCAAGAAACTTGATTGTAAAACATTACAATCAAGTCCCCTGAAGAGTGGATATAATTTCTATGATACTCAGAGTAGAAACAAAATAAGTGAACATTTAATTTTATTTATTACTTACTGTTTGTGTGTATATGTGTGTGTGTATTTTATTTCTGCATAGATATTCAATTTATCATTGAGGAGACATGAATTTTTACTAGTGGGCTTTTTATATATTGAAGTAAAGAAATCATAATTTAATGGAGTCTTTATTTTTGTTTATATCAACTTGGATTGGCACAGTTGTTCATGTTCTTCATAAATATTTTATATCTGTGAGGACATTCACTCAGGTAATTAAGTAGAAAACAAAACATCAAGGTAAAGGATTTTATTAAATTCTTAAATGTAGAACAGTTTTTCTCAAAGATGTCTTGAAGTCTGTTTTTTTTTTTTAAATTTTGTCTAGGTTTTTTGCTAATATGAATATGTCATCGATATATCAAATATAGGTTATAAGTTTGGCAAAAATCTTAAATATTTTATTTTCAAAGTAAGCCATGTAGAAATTAGATAAAATAGGATCAAGAGACAATAGCTATGTCATTAATTTGTGTGCAAATGTAAACCATAATGATCATAAAAAGAAACTGGTTTCCTGCAGGATAGAAATTTTTAATTGTTGGTTTAATGTGAAATGTTCATATACATTTTCTTTTTTAATCATTTCACCCCAAACAAGGCAATAAAGCCACTAGGATACAAGGGGCTACTGAGTGTTAGAGAATATAAGAAAAAGTACAATTAAGGAGAGAGGACAATAAAAGAACAAGAATTAAGAAGACAGAAGATAACAATTGACATTGCATTTAAATTTTTGAAGATCAAAGTTAACTGGGAAGCAATAAGCTGGAAGAAAGTTCCACACGCAAGAAGTGTGAGAAAATAAATTGTTAGCATAAAACTTACGGTTACATCTAGCCATTTCAGCTGTAAAATGATATCTTTCTATCGTTCTAGTACTATACTTAAATTCATAAAGTCTAGGTACCATTGTGGAAAGTTCATTAGAACAATTACCTTGAAAGTATTTATAGAAAAGGCACAGGGAAGCTACCTTACAGCACTGGGAAAGGGACTCATACCTATAGTATTGCTGATAGGAATACTAGTAAAGAGACTTTTGGAATCTAACAAAGCAAAGTGCCATTAGTAGATTTGAGTGCAGTATTTGAAAAAAATTCTCAGACAAAAAACAACATTTTGAATATGTACCAGAAATGACAATAATTTAATCGTAAATTCAGTGTTTCTACCTTGCTTAAAGAAATGGATATTCTGTATTGTAAGGAGTATTGCATGAATGCTCTTCTGTATTGTAAGGAGTGGCACTGTTCCATTCTAAAAATGATTTTGAGAAAAAATATAAAGGCGGATGATTGTGAAAGACTATAAAATTTTCGTTTATGTTAACACTTATGCTCTTTACAAACTTACATTATCTGCTGTCAATGTGTATATGTTTAGAAGACACTGTGAAATGTCAACTTCTAGTTGTCTCCCTTTGTTTTGTTACTCTCCTCTTTGAGAGAGCTATTTCTGTTTACTGAGACAATAAAAGGATGCTATACGCAAACTTGTATTCCGAGTTGAATAAAGCTTTCTTAAAGCATACATCTGCGTACATTTGTCATTACAGTACTACAAACTAACTAACCTAGTGGTATTTTCAAACCATTATAGACATATAGCAGTGTACAATGTGTGTCCTGTTTTGTGATGTGTTTTTATTATATTGTACATTGGGGGTGGCGTTTAGCTTATTCTGTATGGCAGAGTATTCAATTGAATCCAAAATGGCAGCTTTCATGAGAAAACACACAGCAACTTTATAGTAATTTATTTCCAGAAAATGACAATTTCCTATTTTTCTGAAAATGCCAGGAAACAATGTTACAACAATGCAACGGTGAGAGTATTAAAGTGAGCTAATTTGAAATACTTTTCAATTTGATAAATTGCTTTTTAAACAAATATTTTGTATTGTAAAAGATGTTAAAAGAGAAGAAGAAAAGAAACAAAGTCAAAAGAAATGTTTATACTTACAAGGTGAGCAAAGTGGATTTGCTGAATAGAAGTCTGTAAAAAGCAAGCCTTCAGCTGCCATTTTATCCAGATTTGGAGTCTCCTTATTTGGCTCCCCAAGAATTCCAAGGTCTCCCCAGCCCATCTAGGCATTTTTTAAATAAATAAAAATTTAAAATTTAAACAGTTTGTATGATGCCAAAATTTATTTTAATTTTGTATAAATAACAAACACAAGATGCTTTTTAATATAAAAAACATTTTAAACCATAAAAATGTCTGCAGATAAGTTTGATTGGTACATGTGTATGATATGTATGCACAGGCCACATATTTTTTATATCTCAGGCTTGCCTGGCGGGGAATAAAGGTTCTCATTTTTGCACTACAGCTGCCAACCATCTGATGATTGTGTGAAAGCATGAAACACAGAGTAGTGGTCAGTCACTGTGTGCCAAAAATTTAATTTGTAATTTAGAAAAGCTCTGCCATTTTATATGATGTGGATCACTTTTTTCTGTTGTGCATTCACAGCAGAATCTTTTTAAGAGCTGCTTATTTCTATTATACACACACACCTGTATATATACACATATAAACACACATGTATGTGTATATATATATATATATATATATATATACGAGTTCCGCTATGAAATACGTGATTGAGCAGTGCTATACCGAGTCTAATTCACTACCTCTTCATCACCGAGGCCTATTGGTACAGTTGGTATGATGTTTGCCTGATAACGTAACTGTCCGGGCTTCAATTCTCGGTAGTGGATGCACACTGCTGATGAGTCCCAAATATAGGATGAAATGGCCGTCCAGTGCTTTCTGCATTCTGTTGAGGTTTCTTCTAGACTTGATGAATTATGATTATCTCAAATCCTCCTAATAATTTCTATCATATACATATATGTGTGTGTGTGTGTGTGTGTGTTTGGGTTTTATTAAAATTCTAATTATCACTTTTTAAAACAATAAACAATGCTGAGGATGTCAAATGTGTATACAGCAATAATAATATCAAGGGAATAACCGCCATTTTGACTTTACTGTTTTTTTTTGCAAACACAAAGATTAAACACTGCTATCAACCTAATCACCTCTACTTATGAGGCATAAGGTGGCATCTCACCTCTTGTTAACAATCAAACATCTCATTACATAGAAGTTGGTTGGGGGGGATCAAGCTGTGTGGCCAATAAATCTATAAAGTCATATTGTTTTTATTTATATAAATATACTGTGTTTTTATATATAATCAAACCAATTCTGTCAATAACACTTGCATTAATATTTGATGGATGACAGTCTTTCAAGTATAAAAATTACTAAAACTAGTTTTAGATTAAAACTGAAGAATTTGGTGATTAAATTATAAAATGTTACTTTGGCAATACTTTTTCCATTCAAAATCTACTAAATGATCTTCACCTTTTTAAATCAAGGACAAAACTTGTCAAAAGTGGGTTGTTAAAATTTTTATAAGGAGGGTTGAAATATCCTTATTCTACTCTACAGAGACATGTCTCTGAATGTAATATTTTACTTAAGTTTACTGAAACATACATCAAATATACAATGGAAGATTTGTTATTTGCTTATGTTTTTTAGTATTTGTCATATAACAGTGAATGTCCTTAGAGCAAATTAAAGTTTTTATGTATTTGTGTAACTCTTACCTTTGATATAACAGGTTGAATAAATAACTTATCTTGCATAAGAGCATTTTATTAAATTTAAAAGTAAGACAAATTTTGTTTTAAATGAAATTTCTGAACAATGTTGTTACACTTGGGTGTTTGCAAGAGCAGGTTGACATTGTTAGATTTTAAGATTCTTTGATATTATTTTAGCCATACATACAAATACATAATAAAAATTTTAGTAAAACAAAGACAATGTAACTACTTCAACCTTTTACTGTATTGGTTCATTTATTCTATACTAGCTTAAAAGCTTTCTAATCAAGCAGCATTTGAGCTAGCTCCTGGTCTGGGCTCTTGATTTGGCCTTCATCACAATAGGTAAGGAGGAGTAGATGCGACAGGTAACAATAAACTACAGAAGAACTCAAAACTGATCACTGCATTTAAGTATTACATTAATATTTAAGCTTACCTTTTAAAAGTTCAACAATAAGTCTTCTGCTGCCACTTAATTTAAAGGCAGTTCGATGTACATAGGTCCTTACTTTCCATACAAACAATTATTTTTATTTCATGATATTTGCTGGATTTCGCAATTAATTTTGATTATTCCCAAATTATAAAAATTGTTATCATACAAAAAATTTTGTCACAAAAAAAAAAATCATGTAAAAAAAATAAAATAAAAATCACTGAAAACAATTGCAATAATGAAAACTTGTGAATCCAAAATATCAGGATTGCAGGTCTGGATCTGGCTCAGAATGTTTTTTATTTGCTCATGGAGTCGGCCTAATTCCAAAATGCTATGATATGTTGGGCTACGGTCTCTAGGAATAAAATTGAAAAACTGACAGTGACACACTGACATTCGCATTTATTACATAAGATTAGAGATGTTCTGGTGCATTCAGAAAATTGTTTTAGATTGAATTTGAAACATTAATTACAAAACACTAACTACACTAAGTGAATTAAACATGTTCAAGTGTTTGTGATTTTGATAACCAACTAAAAGCAATACAAATCGAAATACTTTGACATTAAGTTTCAGTGAAGAATTTTGTACATTGCAGTCCCATGAGATTTTTTGAATGATGCCTGAAAAGTTTTTATTGGCTGTGTGTAAAAGTTTCTTATGCCTTCTTTTTCAAATGCGATAGTAAAAACAAATGGCAAAACCAAAAAAAAAAAAAAAAGACAACAAAGAACAATAATAAAAATAAATGACAACACGAAAATAAAATCAGCAAAAAAGAAAAAAAAATGATAAAAGAACTAACAAAAAACATGACAAATATTTTAAATAAAAAATTACAGTAGACTTTTGCCAATTTATTTCTTATAGCTTATCAACCTTCTTCAGGTTATTTAAAGCCAGAAAATATTTTTACAAAGTCAGGATTTTTCTGGAGATAATGATGATTTACTGATACAAATCCTACTAATTAACTTGTAACTGGGGGAGAAGACGTGAATTTCCCAAGAGTATTTCTAAATGAATATAATGAACCCAATTGGAATTGGAACTCAGTTTCTAATTTCTAATCCAGAGCTGTTATCCATTATACCACACACAAATCCATGTTTACAGTACCTTCTATTTCTAAGTGGTTACCTTTCTAGGTACTAACCAGGCTTGATGCTGCTTAACTTCAGTGATTATATCAGAACTGGTGTTTCAACATATAAAGCCAGGAAACTTTTGTACACACCTAATAAGTAGTAGAAAATCAAATTTGAAATTACATTAGTTTCGTGATTTTTGCCTAGATAATAATTTAAGTGGGAATAAAATGTGGCACAGAAAGAATTGAAAGCAGATTTTAAGCAAGGTTGAAGAGTGATAATAAAAAGACAAAATAGAATGGAAGCTGTTTTTACAGGTCAGATATAATTGAAATTAGTTGCTCTGCATGCCGCAGATTTTTCAAATACTCTTCTGAAGTACTCTCAGAAAGCAGCTGTAGACTTCCAGGCCAGGACAGTGGTGGAGGATGAAAGCTGGACACTCTAGCCCAACTAATGAAACCTGACATTAGTCTCCACTTGGTAGATTATTTGAGACTAAGGGAAGCCAAGCTGGTCTTTGAATGGCTCTCATTTCATTTTAATCAACTCCAACAACCACCTTTTCCTGAGTGCCAGAACCTGCTGCCACCCATTCCCTTCGGTCACTTCCTAATGAGCTATCATTGTCAAAACTAACTGACAACCAACTGACTGTAGCACTGGCATGAGCAACAAGATTTAGGCTTTATTGAAGCATGAGCCAGTGTTGCATGCAAGAAAGATGGGAGGTTTCTCACAGAGCTAATTCTGAAATCAGAGGCATCGGTGAGACAGTGGTAGCAGGTGAAGATGAAAACTGTCAAAATCTCATACAATATTACTTGGAATATGTAGTTTTATCAGATAAAAGCAATGGTGGGGGAGAAAAAAAAATCAAGATTTACTAACACTACTAATTATAAGAGCTGTAACACCACTGTTAATACAATAATAAAATAAGGTAGAGATTAAGATAAGCTAAATGTGATACTTGTATACTAAAAGGTACCCATTTGCAAGTCAGAAACTTAGGTTAATACAGATGGCAAAAGTTTGGAAATGAAGGAGAACTGAGATACTCTGGGTGATATGAAAATAGAATTGTCTTTTACTTATCTTTCTTGGCAACAACATCCAATACACAAATTTCATTAATCTTTTTACATAGCAGAATGTGTTATCAGCTATCAGGGGAGAAAAGACACAATCCATGACCTTTAGAAAATACTTATTTTCCTTACTTAAAAAAATACAAAAAAGACTAAACTTCAATTTAATTGGATGTGTGAATGGCCTAAAAGTTAATAGCACTGAGAATAAAATTGACAAATCAGATTCAAATTTGGGCCAGGACAGTTAAGGTTCATGTTGTGCTGATACCCTTGTGAAAAGTAGGAATTCACTTCTCTCAGCTATAGGTAAAGATAAGACAGTATTAAAAAATTTTCAATCAGATCCCTTTCCCAAAACATGACCAAACATTGGATTTTTAGGCAGTGTAAAAGGACTTCTTGGTTTAGCTGAAAACATATTAGTACTCTCCCATTGGAGGGGAATTTGGAGTATTTGATGGGTGTTGGTTTAGCAATCTGCCCCCACACCTGGAAAAAAAAATCATCACCTGTGACAAACTGTAGTTGCACTACTTGGAATGGTTATGTGCCACAATGAGTCAGTACAAGTATTAAAAAAGTAACTAATTAAATTCACTTTGGTGTTGCTTTTCTTGAAAAATTTGTCAGTCTTTGGTTGAAAACTTTATAAAAAAAATTATGAAATATAATTATCCTTAAGTCTAACAATATAAGAAATACAAATGACAGTGTGTTGATGGCTGACTCAGAAAGGAAACTACAAGAGCTCTTAGACAGGGTAGTAAAGGAAAGTGAGAAAAAAAGGACTAACCATCAATTGCAAGATGACACAAAGTATGGTCATC